TCACGTGAAATCATGCAATGACGTCATTTGTTTACCAGCACTAATAATCGGCCGCCTAAACTAAAATATCACCTAACTAACCTTAACTTAGACCGAGTGTTTGATCATGTGATGTGATGATCACCTTACCTTGGTCTCAGTTTCCGGTAAAGATTTAACTTCCTCAATTATCTTATCTTCTGAATTGTTGGAGGCAGTCACGAAGCTAGAGGTACGGGACATTGGGATAGAGGAAGTGGTTATATTACCTGACTCTGTTTTAGATGAGATTTTTCCGGGACTGCTGGTCTCAGAAATTTCAGTATCTTCGAACGAAATTTGATGTCCTGCATTATCTGTATTGATGTTCTAACAAGAATAATTTATAATCTCTTGAATTTGATCATTAGTAAGCTTTGAAATGGAATTTGCACTATATGATTTGATGTATTTGATTTTATCATAGCCTATTTTTTCGAATAATATATAAATTTTCTTAGCTCTCTGAGTTTTTTGCACAAAGCATCCCATGATATTTCTGAAAGATATAAACCCAATTCTTGAGATCTTTTTTTATGGATAATTGAAAGCTGTTTTGTGATGGAATAATAAAGTAGGCTTCTTACCTTCTTTTCACCAATTTTACCTTTGCTATTTTTAATAATCTCATTGAAATGAACTCTGAAATCCTTTCCATAGATGGGCCAATATAAGATTTCTTCTTGGTTAGCTTTATTTGCACCATTCTCAGCATCAAAAGCTTTATCACATAACTGAGCTAGATGTTGTAATGCTTTGTCAATGTTAAATTTTCTGGGACCGTCATTCTCAGAAATTTCAATCACATAATTTTGAATTATATTTGATTCTTGTAAAGATGGCTCTATAAATAATTCTTGGACCAACTCCTGCTCACCTTTTACACTCAAAGAAGTTTTAGTACCCTAGGAAGTTATGATTTTCTCTTGATCCCGAAGTTTCTTTTCTCTAATGCACTGAATTATCTCTTTACTAACCTTTTCTTTATATGTTGAATCCAGGAAATGTCCGTATCTTTATTCTCCAATTTCTTCTGCTTACTTGTGCAAGAAAACTGGATTTTGGATTTGAATGAAACCTCAGAAGCATTATCAAGCTGGTCCACAACAGAGCTAGGTATATTAACAATTTCTCTGGAGAAATATCTTGGGTTTGCTGTTTGATCCCTTATTGTCATCCCTTAGTTTCACTACTTCAGCCTTAAGCTCGGCAATTGCATCATCATGCCTGGCATTTTCAGCATCACACCATTTACTCTCTTCCACAGTCTGTCTTAGAAGCTTGACAATCCTGGCCTTAAGTTCAGTTCTCTCAGTCTCAAGCTCAGCGATCTTATCACTAAAAGCAATGATCTCAGCATTCTTATCCTTAAGCTCATCATTCTCGACCTTAATCTCAGCAAACTTCTTCCTGAGTTTAGCAATCTCAGCTAAGAGCTTGGCATTTAATTCTATTAATAAATCGTTAGATTGAGTGTTTGACATGTTCGATAAATTATATACAAGAACAGAAATATTCAAAAGCTCATTAGTATACTGTATATAGAAACAGTCAAGTAAAAAATTGGGCTATGCCAGCTGATCGTATCAAATTTGTCATATTTTGTTTTTTTGGCAAGAAAAAATTTTTCGATCATATATAACATCAATATCAATACATTAAAATAAAATCTCAAAATATACATGCAAAAGTAAATGCAATTATTTATGCGAAATCGGCCAGCAGGACCAGCTTTATTGTTATAAAAAAAATTAAAAAAAATTACATTTCTACTCATTTACGGTGTAAAAACTGTTGAACTATCTTCATCACTATCATTAATTCCAGAATTAAATAGCAAAGACAGGCCAACAATCAAAATTCTCTGTAATTAAAAAAGTTTTAGATAATTATTTTCAGAATAATGTGACGTAGAATATTCTATAAACTCAAATATAACTTTTCTATTATTTGTATATTGTATCGGAATAATCACCGATCTTAAGAGAAAAAGACAGCTTATATTGTCATCATCATGAATAAGGACGTATAAATCAAATTTCTGTCCCACAACCTAAAATTTGAGAATGCCGAACTCGTTTTTTTCTTCTAGTTTACATCCTCTATTCGTCCAACATTAAGTTCTCGCCACAATTTTACTCTATCATCATCTTCTTTGGTGTCATTACAAACGATGCGTAAACATTCACTAAACACTAGTTCATAGATTCTATCCATATGTTTCGCTATGAACATAATGTCTGGACACTTTCCTCTCTCTCCCCTTCTGTCCTTGCTAGCCAAACTTTGCCATTCCGCTCTGCAATAAATAAAAAAAAATTAATAAAAAAAACTGTTCTTAGAAAAAAATCAAAAGTTTATTTATATGCTAATATATGCAAATTTCCCAATTGGCAAATTTTTAATGTGGCTTGAATAATAGAAACAATAATATTTGCCACATAAGTAGCTGCGCAACATTGTCACGTGAAACCAGGAATGGGAGAAATCTACATAGACATCATTTCAGTCACAGGAAACATATTCTTCATTGCAATCCATTCCTAGTACAAGAAAATGACTCTTTATAAAAGATGTTAGTACTTGCAATCTGAATATTGGTTTGAATTTCAGTGACTGAGCCTAAAAACCTATTAATGAAGTCAATGTCTGAC